ATAATCATTTGTAACAGAAAATCAATATAAAAGATAAGGTGATTTATTTAATGAATTAATTTAATATAATCTCTTCCATTAGAATCAACAGACACCTCCCTTTCACCTTTACCTATAGGAATTTATTCAACAAAGAAATAACTGTATTTCAAATACTGATGGCAAAACATAGTTCTTTTAAAAATTGAAAAGCTTAAATCTAAAAAAAGTGAGGGTGCCTTTCTATAAGTTTGATAAATACTAAACTGTTGAACTCTCTAACAAACTCTCATCTTATTAAGATATATCACAAAGTGAATGCATTCTTCAAATCCTAACAAAATTATTTCATCTGATTAAATACCCAAGCTTTATGATGGGAAATGAGTTCTAAAATCAAGAGTTCTTTGGTGTGTTGAACTACAAGCACTCATGCTTTTGTCTAAAATCCTCTCCTTCCTTCTGTTGCTCCTGCCATTCTCTTCTGTTATTTTCTGAAAACTATAATTTCAGTTAATTATAAAGTTTTAGTTTTAGTTGGGTATTTTAGTGAAGTTTTGGCTTGGTAGCAAAATGAAAGGAATGTAGAAAGATTATCTATGTATCACCCTGGTAGCTCACACCTGCACTTTCCCACTATTTACATCTCCCTCCACGGTCTTACATTTGTTAAAATTGATGAAACTATATTACAATTATCTCTGAAAGTCTACAATTTACATTAGGGTTCACTTTTGATGTTTTGCATCCTATAGGTTTGTATGCATGTATAATGGCATGTAATGGCCACCATCATAATAATAATATAGGGTGCATGATCTATAACCTTCCAAATAATATAAGGCATATATTATTATAACTCCCAACTGCCTACATGTCTAACACATAGAGTTCATGTTCTCTAAAATCAAAGAATAAATTCTAGAAATGCTGGAGGTTAAAAGTAAGAAGAATTTATTTAGAAAAAGATAGCTTCTGTCTAAGAGAGACAGAAGGGGAACCAGAAGGTGGGTTACCCCTGACCTCACTTCTCAAAGATGTTTTATTGAGCAAAGCCACAAAGTGAGGTGGGGTTTATTGTGGGTCAATACTGTGGTCACCTAATAAGATTAAAAATATAGTTGCTTTGGGGCTGGGATTTGGCTCAATGGTTCTGCTGCCTGCCTCACAAGCACAAGCACAAGATGCTGAGTTTGATCCCCGCTACAATATATATATATATATTTTATATATATATATATATATATATATACACACACACATACACACACATATACATACATACATGCATACATACATACATACGTACAGTTGCTTTGGTAATATCGATCCAATGGAAAATCATAAAGTGGGTATGAGGTGGGACAAAACTATGATCATCCAATAAGATTATAACAAGAATAGTCCCTTAGATAATATTGATTAAATGGGGATCAAATAGGGAAGGAAGTTATTTAGCAAGTATATATGGAACAAGCAAGGATTTTAGGTGGTCTTGCGGGGACTTTTTCAGAGGTGGCTGAAAAGTGATTGATTCGTGATGCAGGATACTAGGATTAAGGGAGCATAATTACTGAATCAGTCCACCGATTGATCTGGCACCACCCTAATCCCAGTAGCCTTGATACAATCTAAGGGACAGAAAGAGACTTGTCTTGCCCCTCTCTTTTTCCTGCTTTGCTACCTTCTGCCCACCATGAATTCTTACTGCTTTGCAATATACATCTGCCATGCCAGGCTGTCTTAGAGCCAGCCAATTACTGATTGAAACTTAAATGAGCTAAAAAACCTCTCCCACTTTGATTTTGGATGTTGGTTATTTTGCCTCAGCAATGAGAAAAATAACTAAGTAACAATGTGATCTGAATACCAAAATTATACCTAATTTTGGTATTCAGATCACGTTGTCCTTCCATTTTCTAGATTTGGGAATGTAAAAAGCAGCGTTCACCTAACTTATCTGTCAGAAGCAAATATAAAATAGGCAGGTTTCATTAACATTCTAACCCTTTATTATTTGAACTTTTCATTTAAATCTTAAATCAACTTAGCATTTGTTGAATAGTAATTATTTTTCAGAACATGGTATTTATTTTATTTTTTGGTTAACTTTCTTTTGAGTTGGGAAGTTTGCTTTATCATATATGTTCAGACTCTTCAACTATCTTATCTTTGCATTTTAAAATAAAACTACAGAGGGGAGGAGAGGGTGAAGGGAGGGCAGGGACAAGGGGAAGAAATGAGAACCAAGACCTGTCATGTAAAGGTACAAGATCCCAATATTGAATGTAATTGTACTGTATACTAAAATGTACCAATAAACTAAAGAAAAGAAAAAAAACTACAAGTTTAACATTAAAGAGAATAGGCAAATATGAGTTTGGAAAGTGAGAGTCTAGATTATGGTGAAATACTGAAAAATAAAACATTTGAATAACACACAGCAGGAAAACTTAATTGTTTTTATATTATATAGCCTTATACAACAAAGAATTTATCTATTTGTGATAGATCAAGACAATTTGATATTAAAAATAATTTATGGAAAGCATCATAATACAAATGTCAAGTGCTAAAAAAGCATGTCAATGTGGTCGCCTCGAAGTTATATCTCATTACATTACCTTTTTGAAGCAAAATACTCCAAATTTTCTAACATCTTTTAAAAGCTAGCACAAACTTTTGTATATGTTCTTTTATTCTAGATGAACTCACAAATTCATCAGAGACCCAGTTGTCTTTAGAAGATCTCTTTAGGAAAGACTTTATACTTCATAATCCAGAAGCTCGATGGATCAATGGTATGTGTAGATGGTTTCATATATTTATTTTGAGCTGTGTTTAACTAAAAGTAAAAATGATATTTGTAGTTGATATATTAATAGGTTCTATTCTTTGAAATATATATATATCTGATATATTCATATATATCTGATATATTTATATATATCAGATATATTCATATATATCAGATATATTCAGGTATATCAGATATATCTGATACAGATTTCATATATATCAGAAATTAGAACTTGATTCAAGTGAGAGAAAACTAGTAGAACTTTGGCTCAAGAGGAAGAAAATTCATATAATAGTATATTTTATGACTCTTCTCTGACATTGTTGATTATGCTGGATTTTTATGTCTTTGTCTTTTTTTCTGGGCTACCAAACATAGCAATTTAATTTTTTAGGTCGATTTTTAAAATTAAGTGATAACTGTAAAATGAATCTATTGAATGATTGTAATGATTTTGATTTATCTTTATGGACATTAATAAGGGGAGATATTGTGCATAATAGTCATGATAAAGGTGTTAGTGAAAAGCAAGTCACAAGTTTTCATTTTTTGAGTATTTCAATTTGCCTGACAGTAATAATCATCATGATTGTATAGTTATTATTCTTTTCTTTCAGTTTATTTATATATAATATGCGTTTATTTTCAAGACAGAGTAGATTATTGTCAGAAGCTTTTCTTTTATATATAATAAACATGATCTCATTTATAATCCTTTCTTTCCCAATATTCTAATTAAATACTGTTATCCCTATAAATTAAATTTTAATTTATAGAAGTTATAAAACTACCATTTAGCTCATGAGTACAAGGAGTAAATTATACTTGTTTACCTGGGATTGTAATAGCTCCTAGAGATCAACAAGCCTTCAAGATTTATATTTTGAATAAATGAATGAATGTGTTAATTTAATTGTGTTATTGTTTCATTTGTTAAAATTGCGTTTGAAACTGGTTGGAAGATGACTGCATATCATGATGATAGTATTAGAGAGAACACAATACAGCAATTTTCTTAATCTATTTTTATATTTTTCTTTTTGAAGTTCATATTCTTGAAACTATTTACTTTCAATTGTGATTGAGATTATAACAGATGAACCTTCTGATTAAAGACTAACATGAATATTATTGCCATTGCCCTAATAAACAAATGTGCCATAGGTCACTCCCTTAATGTACAATTGCAATTATGTAAATCATACATTATTACAAAATGTTTTCTAGGGAGGAAGATAACAAATTGGGAATTTCCCAGAATTTTATAAAATGCTGGTAGTATTAAAAATCATTAGTTTTGAAATGTTGAATGACCTTTTTTTATTTTTATGGTTCTTTTAGTCTTTGTGATTTCGACAGATTATAGAAATCTATATAGCCATTGACTTTGGAAATCAATAAAATGATGGACCCCCCCTCACTCTTAAGTTGCTGTGACAGTTGAAAAACAGATTTACTCCTGGGTCTAAGTGACATTCTGATATCAAAGTTACTAAGGAATGAGCAGATATATCAGCAGTGAACTGCATGCCAAATTAAATCACATTTCAATATCCAGGACATACATCCTCTTTGGATACTTTACAAGATATCAAAGTAATAAATTTGGAGTTAATTATTTTAATCATTTTTTGGTAATTTTATACCAAGTATTGGTTTAAAAAAAAGATATACAGGGACAAAACTGTATTTTTTTGCATTGTTACTCTAAATTTCTAAAGTAATATATAAACTTCATAGTATTTATAAAATAATTTGGCATGAAAACTGTCTGTTAAACAAAATGAATGGAAACAAAATATGAGAGAAGGTGATCTTTATAAATACCACAAAAGGTGTTTGATCTCTAGTACCCCCAAAAAATACACACACGCGCACACAAACACACATACACACACACACACACACACACACCACCACCACCACCACCACCACCACCAAAAGAGTTGACTGTAGATTGTGTACTCCGAGTTACTTTTGGAGTAGTGGATGGATTTGGCTCTTACCTAACTCACCTTCTCTTGAAATGATTACTTAGCATATTTACATTTTCCTCACATGGGCAAGAAAAATAATTGGAATGAGGTAAATAGAATATGTATCCTAGTCTCATTATCAATAGATACATCTATATGTGAAATGTGAGCTTTCTCTTTATTTTTGAAAGATGACTCGAGTTTTCCTAGTGTATAGGTCTCTTCAAAGAGTTCAAGCTAAGCCTATTTAGAATCTTCATTTAATTCTTGGAGGTCATCACAGGAACATTTAATGCATTACCAGGCAAAAGAAGGAGGCAGTCTAAGTGATCCTGATAGGTGCAGGTTATAGTGAAGCATCTTGTTTATTATGCTAGTTCTCAAATAATAACTCTGCAAATGACATTGCAGCCTTGTTTGGGTGCTTGTGGTTGTGGTTAACTCAACAAGTGCCTTGCCTAGTATTTGATCCTATCCTTTAATTCTCCATTTGTATAGCATCTTCTTCCTAGTTAAATCAATTGGAAACCTAGAAATCTATCTTTAAAGAAATTATTCATTTCTCTATATACAGTTAAGGATCAATTGATCACCAGTGGAAGAACTCTGCGATAGATGTTTTATATCTGTATTTTAGGTAACAGTGCATAAATTTAAATTAACCCCAGAAAATTGATTCTTAAACTGTTATCTATTAAGAGGCAGAATCTGCATCAATCGTTATGTTTGCTTACCCTCTCATTGTTCCCCTCCGATATATTTCAATATCCAACATATATATCAGTGACATCTCTAACAACGTTGTTTTTATAGATCTCTTATTATTAATCCTTTCATGTTGTATTTTAAAATGCCTTTACTTCAACAGGCCAATCCATATAGTAGTAATTTATGCAGCTACTAAAAATAGTGTATAACTACATTTATTGATATGTTCATGATGTACAAAAGTGAACAGGAACTTCAAAATAGTGTTGATAGTATATTTTACCTTGTCTATATCATGTAATAGTGACTTTCCAGGTTATCTTTTTACCTACTCTTTTCTCAAATTTCCTCCATAAATTTCTATGTGATTTTTATAGCTAATAAAGGCTCATGTGTTTCTAGACCTTTCGCCATTCCCTAGTAAAATACAAGTTTCTAAGGTCCAGTTAATAATACAGTATTAAAATAATACTTCTCAGAGATATTTCAGAATAACTTTGTATTAAATGAATGCACCCCAGAATCCTCCTTTTCTGTTTTAAGAATCTCAGAACCAGGCCTCTGATCTTATCCTATTTTACTTCACATTTTGTTTCAGTCACATTAACTGCCTGATAGTTTATTATTATTATTATTATTATTATTATTATTATTATTATTAGGGTATGTCTGTAGTACATGTATTTTACAACTATCTTGGGTAGTAGTTACATGCACCTAATACAGGTTGGTTCTTTTTTTTTAAATCCATCGAGAGATGATTGGATATGTTATTAATATATAAGGACATAATACTTGGCTATAAAGGAGGACAAATTCAAGACATACAAAAATGGATGCACCTGGAAAATATAAATTTGAGTGATAAAAGTCAGGCACACAATTTTTAATACCATATAGTGTCTTACATGTAACGAAGGTAAAACACAAACAAAGAGTATAATATAGGATGGAAAGAAGGAAACAGGATACAGATCTCTTGCAAGTGGGAATTGGTGCAGCACACATGATGTTAAAGGGAGAAGGGGAGGGGAAAGAAAAATAAGTAAAACAAGATATGCCATGTATGGTAACCTAGTAATCTCAATGCATGTAAATATTATATGCCACGAATGTGAGATAAAGTTAATAATATCAACATAATGAAAATGAGGATACGACATTTAGGGGAGCAGTAAGGCTGCAAGAGGGAAGGGAAAGAAATTTTAAAACTGCTTTATATTCTAAGTCCTCAAAGTCTCTTCCTTTCCTAGCGTTCGTGTCTCTACCTAGAATCCCTTTTCAAATTTGAGGGCCCAAATTTTATCCCACTAGAAGTTTAATGCCCCGAAGAAGTGTCAATGTCTATTCTTTTTCCTGCCAGCTATCAGGAACATTGTCTTCTCTAAACTCTGTAGTCTGAACCCACAGTATAGAAACTCCTGTCTTGGATATAATCACAGTGTATCTAATCTCTAAGGCAGTGTTTCTAAGACTATTGTGAAGCACTGATATTTTTAAGTATTGATTCTACTATTTTTCCATTTTGGCATAAAAAACAGTTTTGAAAATATAATCAAAATAAACTTCTAGGAAAAATGAAAATAACACCTAGTCCAAATAAAACCCAACATCTACTGTTAATATGTTCAAAAGATCTAAAGTTAAATTTCAACCTAATATAGGTCTAGGCATAATATTCACATAGAAGAAAGAAATTTCAGGAATGACTAATTGAAAGAATGTATAAAGTTTCAAGATTGACATTAAATTAATAACTGCTTGTTTTTTAAAATCAGAATTAAAGAAATATTGAGGGAAATAATAATTCGTCATATTACATACCTCTTTGCGGATTTTGCACAAAACCTGAAAAGTCAGTGTTAAATTTTTAAATATATGCGAGCTATCTCATATGTAGGTAGGTTAGATTGACAACAGTACTCAAGAGGACAGTGATGTATCCCAACCTACTTTTGGTTTTTATTTTTATAACACTCATAACAGAAAAGAAACCAGATTTCAAAATTAGAATGATGTTAATGGACAGAGGGCTTTTTAAATGAGAAAACTTAGAAATCTCAGGCTAATTTATTTTCAGGTTTTATGAGCCAAGTAATATTTTAGTTTTAAATTTTATCTCTACCTCTTTATCAGCAGCAATTCCAAGATATATCTATAAAGTATATGCACTTTAAGTGCTGTGTTGATAAAAAATATATTCTAGGTTTTAGATCATTCTGGATTACAGTGGACAAATATGTCATTGGGTAATGAAAGTTTATTATATGTCAGAAGTGAGTTGATTGCTTAGTCTGAGTCTGGCACTTACTTAGTG